TGCTGAAGGAAGCTGTGATCTGACACAGTTCGGCATGGACTTATAAAAATAAACCAAAGGTTTGGGCAAAAATAAAGCTAGTGTGCACAAAGTGTTCCGATTACTGTATTTGTCATTTATATCATTAGTATATAGTACACTGTTTCTATTAAAAACTACAACGAAGTGTAGATTTTGAGGTTAAAGTACAGACATACAGTGAACCCTCAGGATACATGATTTCTAAAAATGTCTTCATTTTTCCCCAAATTTCTAAATTTGAATTCTAAAAATCCTGTTAAACTAGAAGAAACATGATAATTAAGGAATAGGATGGTATACTTCCAGGAAGGGAGAAAAATCTTATTGTTTTTGTTCATGTTCAGTATTCAAGAGAACAGGGGAGTGCAGAACTGTCAGTAAAAGTCAGAAACTACATCTCACAGTAAGTTTTTGTATGCTACATGTAATACACAGCTTTGTTTATCACATTGTGAAAATTAAAAAAGTTAAAAGCAGGGAAGAATAAGTGAGGTTCACTGACCAACATTCATTTTAATAAAGATTTTATTGTGGTCCTATCATTATAAAAGCTGCCTTTCACCACAAAGGCTTCAGGTTTTACCTGGTTTAGAACTTTTTGGAGATATGGTGTTCCCATCCGATCTGCCATGTGCCTATATGCTGGGTGGGAAAGAAAGAATTTCCTTTCTGCTAGAAGAGCTGCCTTTATGTCCTTCTTCCCATCAATGTCTTTCTGGCTTCTGTTTACAACACCAATATAACCTAAATCAACACAAAACCAATGGGTAAGTCAATGCAGCTATTGCCTGAACTACTGAATTCACACTGAACAGACCTTGACTGCCTCAGTTCAAACAAAATTTTCCAATTTAGGCAGTTCGGATATTGTTCACAAGTATTCTAATTACCTTAACGGTGTCTAAATTGTTCATCCTGTTTATGCATAAGAGATATACTTCTTTTTAAATCGCCAATTCAAACACAGAAATATCTGAAACTTTGGTGTACTCCAAAGAAACCACTTCAAAAATAAACAACAAAAAATCAAAACACAGACACACAGGTCTACACAGATAAATTATATGATATTAGCAAAATACAGGAAAAATTTCTTCTTGTTTGCTGGACCAATATGCTCCATGGGAAGAGATGGTGGTCTCATCAATACATTATAACTAGAATCATAGTTCTTGATATTGTTAACAGTATGAGCAACTGTGGTAGTAGCTGCCAGAACAATCATACAGAAAATTTCTAGAAGGGATCAAAACTTGGTTTACAGTGAGATTACCAACGCTCTGGTGCTTGCTTCTGTCATACTCAAAGAAAAAAAAGATTTTTTTGTTACAAGTGACAGCAACCTGGCACAGAAGAGAAAATTGACTAACAACTTGTGCTGACATTTCTTGCTTCCTCTGGATTATGCAGTGTATTTTGCAGGTCCAGATAAAAAATTATTTTACTTGCAGGATATTTTTAGCACAGCTGTCTTTTATGTTTGCTGAATATAGACAACTTTAAAAGCCAGGAACTCATCAAGTCCAGTATAACCTTTGATTCACCTCCAGGACTCCCGAACACCACCCTTATCCAAACCACCTTCTGGACTGCAAAGAATACAGGCAACTGAACATTCTCACCTCTACGAAGAGGAAGCAGTTTGTTTTCTAGAATTTCTCTTGCATCTGTTCCTTCATCCATCAGATCCAGTTTTGTGATCACACCGATGGTCCTAAGGCCTGACCGGGGTGCAGGAAGGAGGTAAAAGATAACAATGAATCATTTATATTCAGGAAGAACAATTACATCTTACAATTATATAACAACAGATAAGTGACATTCTCAAAGCTTGCATCACACAATACAAGCTATAACTGCAAGTCATGGTATGTCTGGAAAAGAATGGCTCATCATTACCAGTGCTGAAATATGTTCCTCAAATCTCTTTAACAAGGCTCAGCATTCTTATGATATGACTATATAAAATTTATGATGCAAGTATCCAGAAATCCCATCAGCACCATGGTCCATTTTGCTATGTACTACAAAAATTTCTAGATAAGCATTGCCCCACTTGCTTATAAATGACAGTGAGAAAATTTTAAAAATACATTTACAGCATCATTACCTAAATGACACTGAGCTAACAAACGGTTATTGTGATGTTGAAGCCTATATGAGAATGTATATATACAGATCTATATTATGCATTATAAATTATATTTCACACAAGAGCTGGTCTCTGACTTCCTATTATGTTATTGCACTTGAGAACAAAAAGTGGTTATGTTCAATCATGCTTACCTTGAGGGTCCACTTCCTTTGCTAACTTCAGTGCATCCGAGTTGGCCAGATCAGTGTTAGCTGGAGTCACAGCCAGTATCAGACAGTTTTCTCGAGCGATGAACTGCATTATCATGTCTCTGATCTGTTGCTCAATATCTGGAGGCTGATCCCCTACGGGCACTTTAGTGATTCCCGGCAAATCAATAAGGGTCAGGCTTAATACTATATGGAAAACACAGGATCATAAAACTGGTGAGCATGCCAGACATGTCTAAAGAGGTCTACACATCTATGGCTGCAGATAAATTTTAGTCACTTAAAACCCCGCATAATTACCTTTATAGGCATATAAATATTGTCAATGCTTCAACAAAACGCCTGATAATTTGAAAAGTACACTTGTTTCCCTGTTGGTCTTTCATCTCTGGATTTATTAGTACTATTTAATATTTTAAACATTACAACTGGCATAGGAGAATGATACTTACACTGAATATCCTTGAAGGCTCTTAGACAAATGAATGTGGCTTTCTGAGCTTTTTCTACCAACAGGAGCACAGACAACAGACCATTCCCACTGCATCTTTCAAACCAACCCAAAGCAGTCTTGCTTTTTTTTTTTTAATATACAGTCCTTCTCTGACCATGCTTTCAACAGTGTCTCCAAATAAGAAATTTGTTTTAAAAGTCAATAGCTAGCCTAACTTATACAGCAAAGTTGTTGTTAAGGGGGTTTTTTTTGCTTGTTTGTTTGGGTTGGGGTTTTTTTGTTGGTTGTTTTTTTTGTTTTGTTTGTTTGTTTACTCTGTAACTTCTTCAGAAAAGTAAGAAATGCGAAAAAGTTTATCCATTAAGAAAACCTGTTTTGCTCTGGCATCATTTCCCCAGTATAGGCCACAATGCCAACCAGAAGTATCCAAGCTTGTTCAGCTAGTACTGGGGTAGCAGGGTATCCTTTAGACAAATGAGAAAAACACAATTCCTAAAAATGAAACACCAGAAGTATATTTGGGGTCTGCCTAGTACAGACCACACTCGCTGAACTAAAAGACTGGTCTTAATAAAACAAAGTAAGAGCATTAGGTAGGAAATTTTCACTTTCTCTTGGAGTCAGCATGTTCAACAAACAAGCTTTGAGGCAGGGCATTTAGTTCAGTTCCTCTCCAGTTGGCTATGCCACATCTGTATATCAGGGAAGGGCTATGGGGCATATGTTTAGAGCCAAGGCTGCTCATCAAAGGGAGGTTCAGCATCTCTTTAATTACCTCTCCTCTTATTTTAATCTTTCTGTCCTTTGATTCTCAATGAAGACATCAGATGAGGTGGCTAGAAAAATTAAGTGCTTCAAACAAATGTATCACTTTTCTCCTCTATCCAAGACAGATTCAATGCAAAACATTTTCTCTAGATTGCCTTCATTAAATTGGGCAGACAGCAAGCAGAGGAACTAACTTTGATCTATACCAGGGTCTACAACAGAAAGCAGCTTCAAACACCATTAATTTCTAAATATATATTTTCAGTGACAGTGAACAATAAACATCCAATAGGACAGGGAGACAGAATTACTTTCTAGATCTCTGATCAGGGAATCCAGCTGGAGGGCGGGAAAAAGAAGTTTTGCCACTAAGTCTCCCATTCTTACATTAGATAGTAGTGAGCTACTATCTAATGGCATATGTACTGGGGGAGAGACCGGTTTCATCCTGATGCAGAATGAGAATATTTTTAAATCATGAGAATATTAAATGGGACAGAGAGTCTGCATTCTGCCCAGCTCTAGTGGCAACAGCTTTCCACCATAGAGTGGTTTTGTAACACAGGAGAAGTTGAGGATTCTTCCAGATACATATCCACTTTTGGCTTAACTCAGTCGCAGAAGTTTTTTCAACCCACAAGACTTCTGATCAAGCAATGAGAACACATACAAAAGGAGATAGCTAGACAGAGCTACATAATACATTACATAAGAGAAATATAAAGTAGAATAATTTTACCTACCATGTGGAGAATATATTCTTAAATTAATAGGAATTGAAGAAATGCCTTTGTTCACTCCTGTTATTCTATCTGTTTCTACTTCAATTTCCTGACGAACTTCATCAAAATCAGTAAATTTCCTCCCTTTGCAGTGTAGAAATTCAGCATACTCTGTGAAAAATATCAGTAGCAACTCTGTATTTCACAGGCTCATAGACTTGGACACCCACTTTCAAGTCCCTAGTATTCTTCAGATGTGTATGCATGAAAACTTGTCATCATGGATATCAGGAAAGCATTACATATGAGCATATGCTATAGATACGATTGCACAGATGAAAACCGCCTACAACAAGAAAGGGTTAGTTAAAAAGTCAAGTTAACTGGGTATGATTTACTGCTTTTATCTTTAGCATGTCATCTTCTGGAACAACCTGAAAGATCCAAGTAGATACCTGCAAGATTGAATTAGATATTAATCAAATAGGTTAATAGAATAAGGAACAGATTATGAATCAGATTCTGAGTTTTCATCTGATAACGTTTGCCTCCAATACATCACTAAATTGAAGAAAAGTTCTGTATCATGAAAGATTATTAGCATTTGTTTTCAAAAACTAACAGCCCATGTTACAGGATTTTAACAGAGGAGGTCTGTACATTTTTACAAGTTCATAATAAAAAATAAGATCACTTAGAAACACTGTAATGTTTTTAACACAACTCCTCATATCATAGAACATTAGAATAGTCTATTTTGTGCAAGATGTATTTCGTGTATTTATATTAAGTTGACAGGTTAAGGTTGTAATCAGAAAAGCACATTGAGTAAGGATGGCTTGGAACAACTAGGCCTTGAAGAGACAATCAATCAGGATGTTTTGAAGATGCTTCGTGCATATTACCGACATGGCAAGAATACTCCAGCTCCATCAGAGAGAGAAAAAGACAGTTCCTGAGCTAACAAGGATAGTAGGGCCTAAGGAATGCAGAAAGTGACGAGAAAGGAACTGATAAGCTAAAAGTTAGACTATTGTGCACATGCTTGCCAATTACTAAGATCCTTGAAGTGCAGCTGCAGACTGATAAAGAGGAACATCCTACCCCAGAAGATCATTAGGCTGGAAAGTTGGTAAAAGATAACAAAAATCTGTAGTAACTAGGTGAAAGGTAAAGGCAGTAGGGGAAGATCGCAACCATTGACTCAATTCAAGACCGAAAAGATTTGCCCCACGCACACCTGTAATGAGCATGCAGGTTAATTTGAATATAAGTAACCAATAATAAATGATGGTGTAATTACTAACCAATAAGTGTAGATTTGGGTGGGGTTTTGCTAATCACGTAACAAGATAGATATGCTGTAGTTTTTGTGCAGAGTTGAGCCAGCTTTGTGGAATATCACCTGTGCGCAAACCCGTAATAAATAAGCGCTGTTTCCCCAACTGTGTGGAAATTGGCTTATTGCACACTGGGCTACAAATCCACTTTTTGGTCAACACTCATTTCCTAAAAACTTCATGTAGTCTTAAGCATGGTTTGGATTTAGAAGTTTGTAAAAGCTTTTATAGACATAGCTGTGTTTTTGCTGAAGTGGGAGAACACAATTAATTCCTACATCTTCAATATTGTACAACTTGCCCTCTTACCTTAAAAGGACATCAACCAGGAATCAGGGATAGATACAGTCTAATTTGTTAGACTCGACCTTGACACTATGTCCCCTGTTTCGATTCTTGAATCCAAATACTGATACTAATTATTGTGACCTTCTGGATTTCCTGCCCTAGAGGTGCATCACCAAAAGCATATCTGAGGATTTTTCAACTGGCATTTCTTCCTTCAAAACAGAACACAAAAGTTTACCTCACATAGCAAGGCTATCAACAGAAACAATGACATAAATGGTAGTCACAGGTATAAGCTCACGTCCTGTCCCCACAGGGTCTAAGCAGTAGGATTGGAGAAAGGCTGAACAAAGTTGTGCACGCTCCACTTCATTTCAACCTGCAATCAAGTTTCATTTAGATGTTTCTTCCCCAGAAAACGTTTCATGGTAAAAAGACCTCACACACCAGGGCAAAGAGCTTGCTTGGTACTCAAAAAAAGAGCAGCAGCTCAGGAGACCTGATCTGGGAATATAGATTAATAGAGGGCTTTATGTATCGGTACTGAAGTCTGTTTCCCAAAAGTCACTTTATTACTATTGTTGACAAAGCTGTTTAAAAAAAAAAGAAACCGTAACAATAGTTAGAGCAAACTGAGAGCCAAAAAAGGAGAGAGGGGAAAATAACAAACACCAAACTTTCTGTGCTACAATACCATAATCCCTTCAGATTCAAAGTGTGAAGGACAAGGAAACCTACCCTTGTTAAGACAAAAATAATACATCTCTTATTTTTAAAATAAGACGGCACCTAACAAAAACCTCCTTCTCACTTTTGATAACTTAAGAATTCCAGAATATCTTTTATTCCTTTTTAGCTCTAGCAGCAAAATCACAATGAATGGAGGTTTTGTATGTTTCATTGTCAACAGTTTATTAAAAAAGAAAAAAAAACCACACACCAAGGAATATTCAAATATTTCACAGTGAAAGATAATATGGTGCACAAAATAAAATATCTCAGTTGCTCTAGCGCATTTGAGAATTCACATTTGTAGGATTTGCCATCTTGAAGTTGCAAAATAGCTACCTACTGAAAAAAAAGAGCTGATAGGTAGCTCTTATTTTGTTCCAGTTCTTCATGCACAGCTCCTGGCATAAAATAAAATGTATTCTTCTTAGTTACTTTATTTTTTTTTTCAGTGGTTCATCAGATTTTCTCAGAAAAATATTTCAAAATTCAGTAACTAATACTTGGTCCCTAGTTGTAATCAGTTGATTGATTCAGCCGATAGTCAAGGAAGCTTTTCTCTTTGTTCCACTCAACACGCAGTAACAGAAAGAATCCCTATCTGAAATGACTTCAAGGTAATTCAAATGAAAATGTTTGCTACTTTTTAGCTGTGTTAATATTTATCAATAGCTCATTCCTCCCAGTGACATCTATGGTCCCACTAGCTCTGAAGGCATAGACTTTACAACGGATCATAACCTGTAGTGCCACGCACAGCCTTCGGAATAAAAATTCAAGTGAAAAAGCAGAACTTCGTTTTGCTCCTTTCAGCCCTTAGCCTGTCCTTGGCAATGCCGCCTTTAGCCAGACTGGATAAGCACATGCTTTAATGCAATCTTCAGTTTTCAGCTTTCATATGCAGAAGAATACTAGGAAAACATTTTATCTACGTTTTTGTGGGAACAGACACAAAGCCAGACAAGAAAAAGCAATTGTGCCTAATGTCTAGTTTTCAGACATGTATTTTCTGTATAAAACTGAAGTTACGTTGAGAAAAAGAACAATTGAGTAAAAAATTAAAATATTATCTTTGCATGTAGAATACTTCCCCCCTCCGACTCATTCGAAGCACCTTGGATAACATAGAATGAAAAATCTACCATAGCACAGTACTCTTCAGTGCATCCAACCACAAATGTCTTAAGTGATTATTTATCTCTTCAATCTTGATTAAGTTAGACAAATCATATAAAACAAGTGTTATGGGATAACATTTTTGAAAACGGTCTTCATTTTTCCTGTGAGTTATTTCTCCCCATGCTTTTATGATTTAATCTAGCACAACATTATATTGCTATTAAGGATAAATAACCATTGTTGTTTCCAAACCATTTAAATTTATGAAAGATCTCAAGTGTGTATGTAGTTTATCTCTAAGCTAAAGAGATCCGAGTTAGGCATGCCAAGTGACGAGACATGGAACAGCCCTTAGAAATAGATGAGAGATTTTTTGGAAAACATCCTTGATCCACATCAGGCTGAACCCAAGACCTTTCCAAGTCTGATAAAGCCCAAAGACTTTACCCTATACAGAATAACCTGTTACTAGAGGTCAGGAATTTGCCAAGATGAGAGACCTGGATTCAGATCTCTTCTCCATCTGATTTCAAGTAGAGTTGTTCCAAGTCCGTGGCGGTACCCAGTCTAGCCTACTCAAAAGAGTTAAGTCTCCAGTTTGGAGCTCTCCAAAGAGGTGGCTCATTACATTTAGGGCCTATAGCAAACATTTAAAACATATATAGCAAAGGGGGAACCCCTTCTATTACTGCATCGTGCATCTTCCAGTCCCTTAAGGAGATGTCACTCACCCAAGCAACAACAGTCTTGTTAGTGTCAACAAAGCATTCCACAAAGCCTTAGAATGCTTTTCAAAAGAGTGATTTCAAAATATACAAATAAACATCATGAGCTAAAGCAAATCACCTTTTCTCTGAAGATGGATCAACTTTTTCTGAACAAAATAAATGCAGTTAAATGAACCTACTTAGACCTTAGCACATCATTCAACAGCTCTTCATTGAAAAGAGAGGCAGTATCAAAAGCCCTTGTTGTCTCACCCAATCTATAATTCCTCCTCTAATTCTCCATTTCTCCAGCTTTGCTAACATGCTGAAGATAAAATATTCAAAACTCAGGCATTCCACTTGCTAACCTTCAAGCAGCAAGGCTACAAGAAATAGAAGTAATCTGGTGTTTAGTGAAGAAAAAAAACAGAAAATCCTGACAATGCAGAGGATGACAAGAATATCATAGCGGAAGAGATTAAAAACATTGAAAACAGTGTAGACCTGATGAAAGTAACTAGGCATAAAACACCAGGTCATGCTCTTAGGAACAAATGAAATGGTTAATTGTAAGGGTAGACACTCATACCAGAGGAGGAAAAGTATTTTTTTTGATGCAACAGTCTTTTACATCCTTGAAAACTTTTATTTGTAGAAGAAATATATCTCTGTTCTTTCAACCTGCTTTTACAGATCATGCTTTCTAAACTTTGAATCACTCGTACACTATTCTCCAGGCATTTTTCTTAAAGCTACAGAGGCAGACCTCTTGCCAAGATCTTTCCAGGACTGGAAAAAAGTGGAAGAACTACTTTTAAGACTGCATTTCTGTTGATGCATCTTGTATAATGTTTACTTCTGTATTTTACAACAGCATGACACCAGTGAGTTGTGTTTTGTTAGAGATCCACTGTGAGCACCACGTCCTTTTCTGAAAAGTAGCTATCTAATCAAATGCAGAGTCAAATACAGCTGCCTTTCAGTACAG